ATCCCTCACTGTTAACCCTCTGATAAATCCCACATCCCTCACTGTAATACTGATATATCCAACATCCTTCACTGTAACACTGTTATATCCCATATCATTCACTGTATCACTGATATATCCCACATCCTTCACTCTAACACTGATAGATCCCACATCCTTCACTGTCATACTGATGTATCCCAGATCCTTCACATCAACATTGATTTATCCCACATCCTTCACTGTAACACTGATACATCCCACATCCCTCAGTGTAACTATGATATATCCCACATCCTTCACTGTAACACTGATATATCCCACATTCTTCAATGGAACACTGAAATATCCCACATCCTTCATGGTAACACTAATATATCCCACATCATTCACTGGAACACTGATACATCACACTTCATTCACAGTATCACTGATATATCCCATATACTTCAATGTAAAACTCATATATCGCACATCATTCACTGTAACGCTGATATATCCCACATCGTTCATTGTAACACTGATATATCCCACATCCCTCACTGTTAACCCTCTGTTACATGCCACATCCTTAAAATCAATGCTGATATATCCCACATTCTTCACTGAAAGACTGATACATCCCACATCCCTCAGTGTAACAATGATATATCCCACATACTTCACAGTAACACTGATATATCCCACATGCTTCACTGTGACACTGATACATCCCACATCCCTCAATGTTAACCCTCTGATATATCCCATATACCTCACTGGTAACCCTGTGATAAATCCCACATCATTCACTGTAACACTGATATATCTCACATCCTTCACTGTAATTCCCTATATATCCCACATCACTCACTTTGACATACCCCACATCCCTCACTGAAACACTGATATATCCCACATCCTTCACTGTATCACTGATACATCCCACACCCTCACTGTAACACTGATACATGCCACATTTTTCACTGTAACACTGATATATCCCACATCCTTCACTCTAAGACTGATACGTCTCACTTCCTTCACTGTAACAATGATACATCCCACATCCTTCACTTAACACTGATATATCCCAGATCCTCCACAGTAACACTGATATATCCCACATTCTTCACTGTATCACTGACAAATCTCACATCCCTGACTGTTAAGCCTCTGATATATCCCACA